CAGATATTTCAGATTTCTCCACCCTCAATCAGATTTATTTGAGAAATGTAGCCATGCGGCAGGTGCGTGTCGCAAATGTTTTTGTTGATTCTGTGTTTATAATGGTTTATAGTCATGGGTTATCGTGATAAGGTCATCCAGCATCATGTTGAAACTGAAATCGTAATCCTGTTGATGTCGATACAACTTTTGGAAGTAGTTCAATGACTTCAAACTGTTAGTCCACGATTGTCTAAAACAACACAGCAAAGGAGGAACAATAAACATGTATTAAAATGTAAACGAATACATTGCTGAGTCCAAAACCTCGTTCCAACAACTACACTGATCCTGAGGAGAAAAGGTACAAGGCTATGGTTGGAGGTACTGAGAGATAAACAAGGCACTCCACAATAATAAAATCTTACACATCTTTTGGTGAGTATGAATGATATCCAGTCGAACCTCTTTAGGACGAACACCAAGGGACCGATGGTATTTATTCTGTGAGCTTAACCTATTTTATAACCGGAGAATACAATTATATCTCCAATAGACATACGAATAGATTTCTTCTACGGCGAAAGATTCTAAGCCACACCAACTCATTGCCTCGTCTCGTATGAAACAATTGAGTCACTAGGGAGATTCTGCAAAACGAAAATGCGTACAAACTTTCGCTCTACATCATGAAGTGCGAAACTTCGCACCTTTGGACGCGAAACTTGCAGGGAACGCGAAATGAACTGTCGTAGGAAATTTCGTGAGGTCGGGTCATGGCGTAAGTGCACTTGGCCCGCGCAAACTACGAAAATGTGCAGAACGCAAAGTTCGTGCAAAAATTCGCACACACTTTCGCAAGGACTGTCGCGAAACTTCGTTCGAATTTTCGTTTTGCAGAACCTCTCTACTGAACCTTTCTTTAGCAACATGACGGCAACTCAAACAGCAACAGAGAAAGTACGATACATGTACTCCACATTCTTACAGGTACTACAAACAGATTGCAGATCGTAATTCTTGCTTTGGCGGCACGAAACTTTATTTGAGGCAGTGCAATCTCGGCGGTACTCACAAATCAAACAGCCCAGACTTGAGTAAACAAATCCAATCATACAAGTACGAGATTTTCACGAGACGAGACTGCACCCATTGGCTTGTTTCGTATGAAACAAACAAGTTACTGAACCTCTCCACAATAGAGATTTCCCCTGATATGCGAATTTATTTTGCAAACTCGGTCAATTGGTACTTGAACCTTTCCCTCCAGATTGGGAACTGCCAACGATAGTATGCCACTGACCAGTGCCTTACTTGTAACGTACCAATGTACAATGAATATGAGTATTTCGACAACACATCTAACATAAGCCTTACCGTCAAGAAGTTGAACTCGCGTTCTTCGCACACTGCAGACAAGGGCAAAGAGATAAAAATGGATCTAAATCCGAATAAAATCAGCACACGTTTCCGTAAATGAAAGGTGAACATAAGCAAATGAATTGAAGGAAACCGGTCAACTTAGAGATCACCTGTCATCGAGTATTCCGTAAAAGGAGGCCTCGCAGCTCGGCAGCAGAAAAGCAAAATTTAGAAAAGAGATCCTGTCAACTTTTCCATTATTTATTGCATTCCGCCCCAAAATCAGCACACTTTTCCTGAATGAAAGAGTCAACACAAGCAAATGAATCAAAGGCAACTGGTCAACTCACCTGTCATTGAGTAATATTCCGCGAAAGGAGGTCTTAGCAGCGCCGAAACGAAATAAGCCAGGCCATGAGACGAAATATCCGAAACAGCTCATGCATGCAAGAAGCAGTTCCAAAGAAGGAAGTTCCTCGCGCATGCACATCCGAACACGGATCCGCGGACTGCATGCACTGAACACAATGTCTGCCGTGCACGTGCACAGCACACGGCTACCACGCGTTGGTAGATCTAATACCGAGCACCTTACGTAGAGACTTACGTAGCCTAAGTGAAATACCGAGCACCTTACGTAGAAACTTACGTAGCATAGCGGTGTCGTTTTTTCTGCCATGTGAACACAATAATAGAAAAGCTGACAGGATCGCTTTTCTAAATTCAGGGCTCACAGTCGGTATGCAGGATCGACAAAAGCGTCATGCGAGGGCGGGTTTGGTGCACGTGAGTCGCGTGACCCCACGAGAGCACGATCGTGTACATCCTACGCATCCCAACAGAACAAAGAAGAGAAAGAACCTTGGCTTGAGTAGCCTGTTCTTGTCTTGCAGAGCCGATGTTCGCGATATTTTGGTCGGACCTGTCCTTTCCTCGCCTTCTCTTGGCATGCAGTGTCAAACCATTCTCGTTTCCGTTCGTCTCGATCTTGTGCTTTTACGATCGTGCATACTCCAGTGGAAATAGTTTGCTTTATTATTTGCACTGGGAATTGCACTGCAACACTGAACAGTTACTGCCAGCCCTCGGCAACGACTTGCCTTTCACTGTGCCTTGTAGAATTGGTCCACCGAAGGAGAAGGCGACAGGCAACCTGTGCTAGTCCCAGGAAATTCATGTCATGTAGCCGCTGTTCGACCAAATGCTGATGCTACAATGAGCGATCGCGATGTTCCACAGGTAAGAAGACAAACAAACGAGTCAGAGCTCGCCAGGCAGGTAACGCCGAGAACATACCACACAGAGCTGCTGATCGGATGGAGGCGAACGGGACCAGCAAATCCGCCAGGCGTTAGTTGAGGGCCACTGAAGGCCAGGTTTCCAGAGGTACCAGTTCCTCCATGATGGCGAAATGCGCTGCCACAAGAACTCCAGCGAGAACGAAAGCACAGCAACCAACTCCGCGGGCGAACTGAGGAGAGAACACTGAAAAATCTGTGCGCAATGATTTTCTGTTGGACGGCGCGCGCGTTGCTGTTCCGCTGCATGCATGCGTTTTTCTTGTTGTTTGATCTGGTGCTGCTTTTGCACTTTTGGCGTTCTGCGCGCTGAGTGGCACTCACTCAAAAATGTCCACTACATCTCATTCTTGGCGGATTTTGATCATCTATGGCTTATTTTTTTCAGCGTGGAATTCTCCAGACATTTACCGATCACTTTTCCGATTGCTGTGCCGAAATCGAAGCCAAAACGACCAGACTTTGGCTAATCCGTGCCGGAAAACTGGAGGGAAAATGGTGAAACGCTGCGGTAGATCACTGAGTTTGGGGGTTTTGAATCAGCATAGCGAATCCCAGCTTCGTGGACATCAGGGCCGATGTAGTGGACTAGATCAAAGATTTGAGAATAGAGGAGAATAGAGGCCTGTGATTGGTCAGTTGTCATCACGTGACATCCGCGCAAAGCCGTGCGCGACTCGACGCTTTTGTATTGGACTGTGAGCCCTGAAATTCTCCAAAACGAGACATATCCCACTGAAAATCAACGTTGAAGTTGACGTTCTACTGCAAAACGCGATAAACACCACCGATGTTTTCGAGCAAAGTGCGACATATCCAGTCGAGCGGGCCAACGTGACCTGTGACTGTGTGAGTGTGACAAGCCAGCGAGTACGTGCTGGCGCAGCACGCGGCAAGCATCGCGACTAGACTGAATCTGTGCAAAATGTCGATGTCAGAGTTCAAAGTACAGTGTTTTCGTGTTGTTGCTTTGCAGCAGCTGCATCGACGTTGTCATTTCGTTCTTTTTGTATCATCTTCTTCGTAGCTGTTGTTTTTTCGCTTTCGAAACTGAAAAGGGCAGTATGCTCGTCAGGGAGGGACAACACTGCTGCTGGCAGTGCTGCTGCTGCTGAGCTCCTTCAGAGTTCCGACCTCAGTGAAGTCGTTGCACTTGTATTTTCTCTCATAATACTGATTAGTCCAGCGAATATATCTGGTTTTGCCCGAAAATATTGAAGAATCACCTTGCTTGAGAAAATGGATGGCTCCTGATTTTTGAGAAAGCCTGTATTTGCATACATCACCCTTCTCTTCTCATCTGCTAAGTTAGATTTGACCCAAACCCACCCAGTTGTTGATCACAGAAAATCGCTCCTCCTGAAAATTGGTCAAAATGGATTTATCTCGTTTTGCAATGAAGCCCTTCAAGTACAACAGAAACAACAGAGAAGTCATGCATACCATGTACCAGGTGAACACGTCATCATGCCATAGTCATGCATGGTCGACATGTCGACAGTATGCGTACATGTAGTAGCAAGAGTACATAACCCCCCCCGGGTTATGTACTCTTGGTAGTAGTCTACGGCCAAGATACCAGAAACCGTATCAAACTCAGTAGATCTACGGGGTTCGAGGTACTAAAACGATTACCAACCGTCAAGAGGGTGGGCACTGTTGCGTACATTTCCAACGGGGTTGAGCACGCGTCTGCAGTACAGTACGGCATCACAGACTGCGACAGACCTGGTCAAGAGGGTGGGCATGTTGCGTACATTTCCAACGGGGTTGAGCACGCGTCTGCAGTACAGTACGGCATCACAGACTGCGACAGACCTGGTCAAGAGGGTGGGCATGTTGCGTACATTTCCAACGGGGTTGAGCACGCGTCTGCAGTACGAGTACGGCATCACAGACTGCGACAGACCTGGTCAAGAGGGTACTAGGGTGGGCACGGGGTTGAGCACGCGTCTGCAGTACAGTACGGCATCACAGACTGCGACAGACCTGGTCAAGAGGGTGGGCATGTTGCGTACATTTCCAACGGGGTTGAGCACGCGTCTGCAGTACAGTACGGCATCACAGACTGCGACAGACCTGGTCAAGAGGGTGGGCATGTTGCGTACATTTCCAACGGGGTTGAGCACGCGTCTGCAGTACAGTACGGCATCACAGATTGCGACAGAGTCGTACGAGGATACAATCAATCACGTCCCAAGTCAGGGAGGGGCGGATGGGAGAGATGGGGCGCTCTGGCGGGATTTTACGGTACGTGTAGTGCGCAGTACGCCATTTTGGACATCAGCGCAAGAAGACGCATGCGCAAGAAAAGCAGAGCGCGAGTATACGCATGCGCAAGAAAAAGGCAAAGCACAACACTCTTGCCTTGAAGAAGAAGAAGACGTACTGCGACACAGTGGCTGCTCTTGATGAGAACTCAGTATTGGTCTGGCTACTAATTGCTGGGTTAACAGAATTTAGATCTGTTTGGCACTTCGCTTTCGTGTAAGGAATCTCAAGGTGACCCGTTACGAAGCCTAATACCATGGCGTGTCTTCTAATACATGTACCAGTAAGTACGCTTGTTCTTGCAAGGATCTCTCTGATCTGTCGTACTTCTTCTAAGGCATATTACGATCGAAGATGGGGCCGCGGGGCAGACAACGGCAAAAGAGATCGAATGTCGACTCCAGGGGCCTTCCCCAACTAAGTGTTCAGGGGCGTGCATGGTTTGTGTTGTATATACAGTCTGTAGCGGCTATAGAGTGACCGGATATAAGAATATATCGGCTACAGTGATATTCGTACGAAATATCAAAAGCAAAACGCATTTTATCCAGTAAAAATATTACTACATTGTATAACCAATATTATCGGATGTAATGATATATCGGATATGATGATGTCAACAAAGAATCAAAACATGCATAACACACTATATTATTATTATTATTATCAGTTATAGTGATAACTTTAAAATACATGTAGCAATAATATCAAAGGCCCTATTTTTTTTACTTTCTTCACGTTGCTTATTTTTATAGTGATACATGTACATAACAGATTTTTTTATGGAAATGCGGGCACTGTCAACTATACAGCATGCTCATTTGTCAAAACGCCATGCTGGAAGACTGTATTTCCTTGCCTTCCAAGTGTCGATCGAAAAAAGAAAAAAATCGATCGTATCGCATATAGTGATGCATCGGTTATAGTGATAATATCACGGAAATCAAAAGGGTACACTATAGCCGATACAGACTGTACACTAGGGAGTCGTACTCAAACTAGGGAGGTGACACGGCACAGAAATCCGTGTCACAGGGGTTGACTCGCACCCGTGACCCCTCGTTGTTATTTTTGGAATAGTTCAGTCCAGTCCAGTCCGAAAGGTCATACTCGGATCAACTCGCCTTCTGTACTTCACCTCCAAGCGTGCAGCATGGGTGTCTAGTTTTTGAAATTATTGACTCAAAATAATTGCAGTAATTGAGGCAGCACATTTCGTTTACAGCCCATCACTCGCCAGTATTCTTTGAAAGACTACCAGCAATTTGTTTACCTCCTGCCATGTCCGAACTACTTGATAGCAGTGATGGCAACAGCAGCAGTTATGAGACAGCGTGTAGTGTTACGGTAACTGTTCAGAACTGTTCAGAGTCGTATCCTAGGTTAATCCGAATACTAAAAATTGACTCAAATTGCACATAACACGAAGCTGGTTTTTGAAAATTGTAAGTCGTGTATCTGCCCCATTTCTTCTTTATGACTTGCACAATACACCAGTCTTCCTAAACAACACATTTCTAGCAGGGGTTAAGTACCATATAAGAGAAGTACAGCCAGTGATATTGTCATGTTGAAATACTACAATTTTGACACAAATTACACATAACACGAAGCCAGGTTTTGAAAAATGTAAGTCCTACATCTGCCCCATTTCTTCTTTATGACTTGCACAATGGTCCAGCCTGCCTAAATAACACATTTATAGCAGGGGTTATGTACCATATTAGAGAAGTACAGCCAATGATATTGTCATGTCTAAATATTACAATTTTGACACAAATTAGACATAACACGAAGCTGGTTTTTGAAAATTGTAAGTCGTGTATCTGCCCCATTTCTTCTTTATGACTTGCACAATACACCAGTCTTCCTAAACAACACATTTCTAGCAGGGGTTAAGTACCATACAAGAGAGCTACATTGTACATCTAGTCATACTGTCATAACCAGCCAGCATTTTTCCTGCAGCAGTCACACCACCATCATCATTATTTCCAGGGAAATCCTCTTACATTGTCAGCTCCTACGTCGTTAGATACAATGTAGGGGGCTGTAGGACCGGCTCGTCAAAAATAGAGAACCTGAACAAGCGTGCTCGGGACGTCTCAGCAATCGTAGTATGCTTGAGCACTCCTATAAAAACTTGATCAATGGCAAAATCGTTCCCCACAGAAAAATCATACTTTGCGGGTCTTGCGTTGCACGCTTGGAGGTGAAGTACAGAAGGCGAGTCGATCCGAGTATGACCTTTCGGACTGGACTGGACTGAACTATTCCAAAAATAACAACGAGGGGTCACGGGTGCGAGTCAACCCCTGTGACACGGATTTCTGTGCCGTGTCACCTCCCTAGTTTGAGTACGACTCCCTGCTGTACACTGTACATTGTAAGCAGCCGAGCATCTGTACTTCCACAGGGAATAGAATTCTAAGACTGTCAACCTACTAGGCATGGGCGGGTAATGCTAGCATCATGGCTGGCATTATAGTCCCTTTTTCCAGGTGGCATAATGCTGGCATTATAACACCATTTCGCATGCAAAAATGGCATTACAAGCATAATTGCCGGTCGACAACGGTGTCATGCATGAAGCTGGCCAGGTCCAGTTCCGAAAATCGTGCATCTGAACCCGTCCGGCTTCATCCGGAGACTTGACGTTGCAAACCAACCTTCTCAGTGGATTTTTAGTGGAAGCTTTCTCACTGCTGTTTAAGTTTTTTCTTCTACGCTTTGGCCTTGATCCAAGACGGCCTTCTTAAATCAACTTTTCCAACTTTCAAACTGGCATTATGGAGTAGTGTGAGCATTATAAGTGGCATTATATTCTCATATTATGAGCATTGCCTTTAGCATTATCGCAGCAAATAACTAGCATTACCCGCCCATGCCTAAAACCTACTGCAGTCTGTACTGTGCTCACAACAGCACTCGCCTGTCAATCCCCGTGGCTCGGAGCCGAATGCTAACACAAGCCGCGCAGGTGCATGTTTAGATGGATGCGGGAAGGGGGCGCCATAACCTCACGCCAAAAACAAAGAAGAAAATGTTCTTTGTTTGGATCTAAGTGGACCCAGAGACAGAGAGACTACAGCGACATTACGAGCACAGCGCACATGCTTTGTATTGTTTCAGATAATGAGAATACGATCGCCAATGTTTGCTGCTGACATCTCCTGACGGCAGTGGCATTACGCTGAAGGAGGCTGAGTACACCTTCGCTGCAAAGCCGGCAGCGACAAACTCGATACAAGATCAAAAAAACATTTCTGCGATCGCACCAGCTGTAAATTCTAAACTTCGGTTGCTGTCAACACGGGAACACATTGCTTTCTATAATAATAATAGTCTTTATTTCAGGATTACCCAAAGGCTAGCGCCTGTCTGGGGGATCTCCTATTTGTGTATGTACTACAGGTAGACTCCCTTTAATTCGAACCTCAAATTGCCAGGCCCTAACTTCGAATTATCCAGAACTTCTAATTATCCAAATGCAGCCCCATGCACTGATATGTATGTCAAAATGCTTGAAATCGCATGCTGAATATTTTTTGCACATTTTTATTTGCATCAACGAAACATATAAGGTGGTCGTACGAACCGCGTACCGGTCATGTACATGTATACAACGGATCATCAAAACACTGGATCGACACAAAATCATTTTGACAATATCTCCATCTTCTAGTGAAGAAGTAAAAGTCACTGCAGCTTTCCTGAAACGGAAAAGAACTGCGCTGCCTAATCCGCGTCATGAAAGGCCGTCGGACAGCAGCACGTCGTTCTGAAGAACGGAAGTGAAGCATAGACATCGACAATATTTACGACAATGGTGTTGTTGTGCGCCAACATCTCCGCGCACGAGCTGGCGCAGCAAGAAAGGCCATCGAGATCCGCGAAGAGAGTCAGCCACCTGGAAGAAGTCGTCTTCAATCAAACCTTTGCAATTTGCCTCGCACGGGCTTGAATCAAAAATCGAGAGAAGGTGGGTTTCTTGAACGCTATAGTCGATCCTGCAGCGGACCATTGATCGATTTTTGAGCTACTCTTGGCTAGAGAAGGAGAAAAGAATGAACTTCGAATTAGAAGGATAGCAACTCAATCTCACTTCGAAATAAGCGTTCAAAGGACATAGCTAATGTACTGTAAACAGCTCTTCCGTACGAAGACTGGGTTCGAATTATCCAACCGGCGCACTTTTCGCACTTCGAATTATGCATTCGATTTTGACTTGATGTGACTTGCAGAAGATCGGTACGACGAAAAAGTTCGAATTACACGGAAAGTTCGAATTATACCGTATTCGAATTAGAGGGAGTCTACCTGTAGTAACATAGTTAGGGATGCGAGAGAAAGTGCACAAAGTGAGTGTGAAATGCTGGATTTAAAAAGAAATAATAAGAAACACAAGGAAAGAAAGCAAGATAGAAAAGAAAAGAACAAGCATGTAAATCAATGATTGCACATCAAAGGTGTACCAGTGCAGTCGAACTGATACTTAGCAATGTGAATACATAAATGACGCTTAAATTCAGATAGGGAATCTAAAGTTGTCAATCGGGGTGGAAGACAATTCCAAAGAGAACCAGTTTTCTGTAGGAAAATGGATGAAAAAATACGACCGTGTGAGTTAAAAATGAGCTTTTTGGGCCTACAGGCACTATGTGATGTGGTTATCGCAAAGCGAGAGAGATATTCTGGGTGAAAATTGATGTACTTAAATAAAACAACAAGAGAAATAAAGACACGGCGAAATTGCAGAGATTCTAAGTGACACAATCTATTCAAATTGGATTTTGATTCATAGATATCAAAGGTTATTTTCGCAGACTTCAGGAGTCGCCGGCAAACCTTAGCCTGAAGTACATCAAGAGACTCTAACTGAGCGAATGTGAGCCTAAATGACAGGAATGGCATATTCAATTGCCGGACGCACATAAGACTTATACAAGAGGAGAATATGAGACGATGGTAAATGTCGGCCCATGAAACATAACAGGTTGCTGAAACTTCCTGAAGATGGTGTGGAAGTGGTCATGGAACTTCAAACCATCATTGAGCTGTACGCCGAGATGCTTAGCAGAACGTCCAAAGGCAATAGGAACGCCGTCCATTAAAATAGAGGAGGAGTCAGGAATATCATGATTCGAAAAGATGAAAGTTTTTTCTGAGCCCAATTCTGGCAGCTGGCCAAATCCTGCTGGAGGTGGGACATGTTCTCATCTTCTCGATGTGTTCACCGTGTCTTGAAGAATCCACTGGAACAAAGTCACATCTGCGCTATTC